TAGTTTTAGTCTGTTCTCTTTACATTTTTTTTCTTCTTATATTGATTTTCGCAGATTGGCTTCCTCCAGTACTACAGAGCAATAACCATTCTCTCATCTCTAGCCTGTCATAAAGTTCTCTCTCCCCCCCGATTTTGGCTTTCATCCTGGGCCTATCTACTTTCTCCTCACCATCTCCCATCTTTTTCCTTTACACTGTTCCCACCCACTCTAGATGGAGTTTGGCCTACTTGAGGAGCAGGGGCTATTAAGGAAAGAAATGACTGCTGATGGACATTTTTGAGGATAGGAAAATGAAGTTGATTCTTGGCTTGGCGTTCTGGTTACTGGCCCATGTTACAGGGTGTTCCCAAAGTAGCTTCTTAGTGCTTTGGATTTTTCTCAGTTCTTTCACAGTACTTTGGTTTACTCAGGTCTACACAGGGTAAGCCAGAGCCCACTAGTACTTTTTTGTGAAGGTAGACTTGTTCCCAGGAGCCAAGGTGGGCTCAAGTTTAGGAAAAGGTAGAGTGTTTCAAATAATTGGAGTTCTATAACATGAGAGATGTAGAGTCCAGGTTGTTCCATGAGAATCCTCTGGCACCAGCTCCCATTCTGGTGGAGCAAGCTCATAAAATCCTTAAACTCCCAGCATACCTTCCTACAAACGTTCCCAGATGGGACTTGAGATTTCTGGGAGTAGAACCTGGGGCACAGGGCCCTGGGGCATGATTTGGTAGCTGATGTCTAATAAATTGGTGATCTAAAGTTTTCTTTCTTTCATGGTGGAGTTGTACGCCTCTTTCTGGTTTTCTTTGCCACTTGGACTTGCTTGCCTCATTTGATTGTAGGTCTCTGAAATGATTTTGGTGGAGAAAAGGAATTATTACTTTTGGGAGTAATAAAGAGGCTGCTGCCCTTTCTAGATTGGCACAAAGGGCAGAGCATTAATACTGGGAAGATAACTAGATTTTTATTTGATTTTTTTTTTTTTTCCCCCCTTGGCAGAAGGTATCAGGAGAAAGAAAACATGGCATTAGCACTATGTGGGAAATAAGTATATTGTGGTTGCTTAAAAAGAATGTGGAGTTTACATAGACTGGAGGAAAAGTCACTAAAGGGCCACATACCCGGGTCCCTAGTGAGAATGAAAGAAAACATCTACATTTCTGTTACAGTCTATGAAAAGGGTAGAGTCTGAGACACTGGTATCTGGCCCACAGGCTCCGGCACGTTTTGGGGGAGGTGCCTGAAGAACCCAACGTACTCAATGAGCTTCCAGCGCAATGTCCGATCGCTCGGGGCCGACTGCCAAGGGGAAGGATGGAAAGAAGTATTCCTCGCTCAACCTGTTTGATA